GTCTGTGTGCGTGTATTTGTGCATGTGTGTGTCATTCAACTATTTGACTCGACCAAATTGAATTTTCACTAAATGATCCTTTGTTAACGTTTAGGTGTGTATGCATATATGTGTGCATTTACGTACAGATATGGTTGTTTGTATAGGTCATCTATTTTGATAATGCGATGACCAAACCAGCTTTAAGGCTAAATTATTGGTCACCTGAGTCTTTAACTCCACAGTGGTTTGGAACTACGATATTGATCTTTTAGTTTCACCAAATCGAGGTATAAATGTAAGTAATCAGGTAAAAACTTGCATGTAAGCAAATTTGGTCTCCGTGAAAAGGCTATGCAAAAATATCTTTTGATGCATACTTCTGTTTATTTCATTGAAGCTTTCTGAAGTATCCCCGCATTCACTATATATATATATACATATATATATATATATATATATATACGTATGCGTATGTGCATGCATACGTACTCGGAAATAATCCTAGTGGTGACAGGCTGTCAACTGGCAACTCGTCTCTCATTTTACTGATTGGAAGCAAGCTAATGACTGTTTTGACCTGCTGATGTGAATCAGTACCAATTTATTGTCCAAATACCAATTTGCAGCCTATTCTTAGTGTTAAAACTCCAAGCAAATTAAGGGCACGCTGGGCCGATCCATTAACTCGAATGTGTGTTATGGTGCATATACGGAAAGCGCACGATGGTAGTTGTTGGGAAAGTTGTCAGCTTGCATAGGTGGAGAGCCAGACTATGAATTAACGGCTGTTCCAAGTGTTCCTAGGCAGGTTCTAAAAGGCTCATTCGGCCATAAACTCAAAACCGCGGTAGTGCTACTCGCTTATAAAACAATCCAAAAATTTTACGAATTTCTCAATTTTTATCAAAATTTTAGAAACCTTGGATGAGATTAATATGGTCTGGGTCTTCCTGCAAACTCTTCCTTGAAAAAGTAAGGGTTGATTTCTGTTTTAACTCAATTACTTAATTTTTATCAGTTGATTTCGACTTGACTGTTTTAACTTAATTACTTAATTTTTACCATAGTTGGTCTAACTTAATTACTTTAATAGTCATGGAGCAAGTATCAGTGATGCAACGAAAGTCACGCTCTGTAGACGCACCGCGTTTATCCACTGTACGTGTGACTGACAAAACTCATAAGGCTTCGAAAAACTTTTACGAACTGATTCAGCCTGTAATCACCATAAAAACATAAATGCTAGCTAATCAGTGCTTGAAACGACAAACAAATAGTACAGTTTTACGGCAATAAGTGAATAGCACAGGCGGGGTAATTTATCAAACAGCACTTATCATTGTTTCATTGGTTGCACTGGGAGGCGCCAAATGTTCCCGCAAATCGGTTTCTTTCCATCCTTTTCGACTGCCCTGTTAAAAAAACCTCCGATTTACAATAAAATAATTTGTTTGAAATTGTCAGACTAAAATCAAAACTCATTTATTTAATTTTAATTAATTACTTTACGCCGCTGATTTTGCTGATTACTCCGACCCCATTTAAATGGTCTAATTTAATTACTTGAACTAACTTCGACCGTATTTACTTAGTTACTCGATTTTAATCAATTAATTCAACCTATAATTTTGTTCAACCATTCTAACTTTAAATATTTAATTTCACATTTAATTGTTTTATTTAATTACCTAATTTTACTTGGCCACTCTCACCTGGTAATTTGATTTTATTTAATCGCTTTAATTTAATTACTTTAATAATCAAACAGCCAGTGTCAGTTATGTAGGACGAAATGGAGGACAGTCGCACATCGGGCGGTATTGTATAAGTTCGAGTGAAACTTCGACGCAACCTCTGCGCTCCACTGCCATCATCCTCCAAGCGATCGCCGACCACATTCAGTGTATGCTGATGTAGAGTTATCTACAAGAATGTAAAACAAAATTTAACTTTTATCATATATTCGTGAAACTAATTTTGTCAGAATCCCATAAAATATCTCCTCCATCAGCTTGTTTCTAAGCAATACTCGAAAGAAGGAGACATCGACAACCTTGCCAACGAGTGGCTGCTGTTGGCATTTGCTACCACTCACACTATTTCAAAGTGTTTTCATCCCTTCAAGAAAACGAATCCGGGGAGGTTTCGACTTTGAACTTTGAAGAGATGTTCAGAAGCAGACAAATGATGGCTTACATCGGAATCGTTGAAATGAAACGAACTTTTGAACGAGAAAATGAAATTTAATAGAATAAAAACATTTTATCTGGAAAATTTAGCCAATATATGTCCAAAGAGGAGGTGAGGAGGAAGAAAAAGAAGGAGCATACTTGGTCTGCTGGCTTTAAAGCCATAATTACAGTGTTTAGGAGAGTCCATGAACTCAGTTTAATC